CTTAAAAGTAGGGGAGAGCAATGTATGTGTGTGTATGTGCCTGGCCTGGATAACAGCAGCTGCGATACTGAGGTTCTGTAGAGCTTTAAAACCAAAGAAAACCCATTTTCTAGTTGCAAGCACCCGGCCGTCCTCCTTGGCAGCACGGGTGAGCACTTTCCGTGACACAAATGCCAGGTAGGACTTCACCGTGCTGCAAACAACCAAAGCAACAGATAACAACCCAGGTTGAAGGTATTTTACAGGAGGTGTTAGCGTCTGAGAATGATTTAAACAGAGAAGCCCCCAGCAGAGGTGATTCTGTGGGCTGGGAGGGCTGGCAGAGCCGCGTTGTCCCCGCACGGAGCAGCACCGCTCGCCGCCCGCTTCCCCCTTTCCTTCTGGCACCGGCTTATTTTCAGCTTTCTGAAGTAACTGTAGCCCAGTGTGCTAACGGGAGGTGATGACAGCCTGGTAGGTAGGGCCGGTGGTGCTGACAGCTTGTAGCGTTACACCTTCCCCAGAAAAACTGCGGCAATCACCTGGCAGGGTGGGGAAAAAAAAGTGTTTGCGCAAAAGCCCTGATCACCGTGGGGATCGCGGTCCTGCTAATATTTATTCTAGCAGATCCATCGTGTTTGCAGGGAGGTGTTTCAGGGAAAAGCTCACAGCTGGGTATTTTACGAGGGGAAGAGTTACACGAAGAAATGTTGCTGAGGGCTTTCTCCAGTTCTCTCGCTGTCAGGGCTGCCACCCTCCAGCCCCTGTCCCCTGCGGGGATACACACTCAAGGGGAGGAAAAACCTGTGGAAAAGGATGGATGTGGGGGGTGAGTCAGTTCCCGCAGCCTTCCTGGCTCTTACCCGTGGTCCCCGCATGGTGCGGAGCATCACGAGAGCCCTGCGGGAAGGAGAGGCAGCCTGAGCTTGGTCACCACCATGAAGGGCTTTGCTCTTGGCAGCCCTGTGGCTCGTTCCGAGTGGCCAAGCGTTTCTTATTTGTATTTTTAAATGATTTTTCAGGTGCTTGCTTTAGTAACATCTCATTTTCTTGGTCTCCCTGAGGGATTGCCCAGCGTGCTGGATTGCTGCAGCTTCGGGGAGAGGCAGGGGAAGATAAACCAGCACCTCAGATGGTCAGAAACGGGTTAGCGCGGTTGTGAGCAAAAAGTGTTTTGGGTGGAAGGTACATTACTGGTGCTCGCTGGGTGAAGTCAGGATGGCCACAAGCATCTTCCAAAAGCCACCTGCGTCAGATCTGGGAGGGTGTCTGGATTCCCGTGGATTCCTTGAGATCAGCAGCAGTTGGGATGCCTGCTGCCCCTTCAGTCTGGCGCCGAAGGGCAAGGTTGTGGGGAGGCTCGGAGGGGGCCCAGGGCTGCCTGGCCACGGGGAACAAGCGCCGCATTGTGCCACCAAAACTGCTCTTTGGCCGATATCAATAGAGAACTTGACTGCCCAGTTTTGCCAGCTCAGCATTTCAGCACGTGCTAAATTCACCCAATAAATAAAAAATGAGCAAAAAACCTCCCGATGGGTTGAGAACAGACGCTGCATTGATGGTCGTGGCTGATCCACAGCAGCTCCGTGGCCAGTGCAGGCGATGCTGGCTCGGTTATCACCATCGTGGGGGGACCCTTCCCCAAAATGTCCCTCCCCGCACCCTTACAACGGCGTTCCCCATGCCGGGAAGGTGAGGCGTGGGATTTCGCGGCAGCCAGTGCCTGTGAAAACTTGTTTTCTGAGCCGAGAGCAGGCAAACCTGCGTCAGAGGGAGTGCCTCCGCCCGGCACCCTCACGTGGCCTTCCTCCACCAGCAGCCGCTGCTGCGCTGGAAGCTGTGGGACCGTCGGACAGGCTTTTCCATCCCCTTACAGGGAAGGTGACGACTCAAGGCTACACGTGGAAAATGTTGGGTTGCAGCATGTGTGGATTTGAGCAGGGAAAATAAGGCTCTTGGCTTGATTATCTTGCCAAAGTCCAATAAAATGCAAAATTTCCGTGAAAGTCAAGTACATTCATGGCTGTTCTCTGAGACGTGTCCAAGCTTGGAAACACTTTTCGTTTGGATGGGAAGAGTGTGCTGCGGACCTGTTTAGTTGCTCTCCAGGTTGCATCCTCCTTCATTCATCTTTATAGGCATCGCCCACCTCCTTCTCTGAAGCACTGTAGAGCATCTCCCATCCTCGCAGGGTGCTCTAGCCCACCCGCAGCAGCCCGGCATGCCTGCGCCTGGGTACCGAGCCCAGGGAAGCGCTGGAGCCAGGAGATGAGCTCGATTAGCAGCAGAAGAAAAATTAATGTTCTCAGAAGTGCCAGAGTTTTGTTTGTAGAAAGGATTTGCACTTCTGAGAGGGCTGTTGACTTTCAGGAGACTTAGGCTTTCAAGTACCTAAATCACTTTTGGAAATATGCTTGCAAATTTTTGTAAGTACTTAGAAAATATTTCTCCTATGTCCTCAGGCCTTCTCCAAGTGCAGTGGTAATTACAAGTTGTCCATTAACCACAATGTGCAGATCTCTGCTTGAAGCTGTTACTCATTCGGCACCTAGAAGACAGACCACATGGAGAGGCACGGCTTGTATTTAAAAAATAGGAGAAGGATGACGTGGGGACTGGGTGCAGTTGGGTTTTTAGAGGACAAACGCCTGTTTTTTCACATGGGCTTGGGGCTTGTGGGTTTTTGGAAGGTTTCAGAGACTGAAGGCCATGTGAAATGTAGCCCCCCCAGCTTGGGCAGTGGCCAACGCCTCCTTGGGCAGTGGCCAACTCCTCCTTGGGCAGCAGGAACTTCTCCTTTCAGATACAACAGCCTCTGCGTCATCTCCTGCAACAACCCTGTGGTGCATCGTTCAGTGCGGTGCCCAAAGCCTCTCAGCAACGTGTGGCCAATGGGTACGAATTCAGCACAAGTACCTTGGATTTCTTCAGAAATGACTGGAGTGTGAAGCAGCTGGGGCTTTGACCTGCATCCTGATACGTAAAGGGATGATTTTGCTTTATTCAGAGCTTGGGTTAAGTTATTTTGGTGGAGTTACTCCCAGTTTACCTGGATTTGAATGAAAAAAAAACCTCAAGCAAATGTGCGTAAATTCCCCAGGCACGTCGGTGGGGATGTTTGGAGCAAGGCTGCGTCTTCAGGCTGCGTGTTTGGTCACGAACCGTGTGATGGCAGAGTCTGCCGAGTACCGACATTCTCCTGGTTGCTCCGGCTTCAGTCGGGCCCAGGCTCTTGGCGAGAGGGTGTGATGGAAACAGCGTGGTGCTTGCCTTCCCCCAGATAAACGAGTGCAAGAGGCCCAAAGAGCTCTCCTCCTCCACCCCCCTGCTGTCCCCAGGCAACCCAACATCCATGTTAGCTTAACGACATTTGGTCTAACCTATATTAAGGGGTTCCCGTGATGAGAGTTTATAGCTTTTGGAAATCTTTAGCAGGGCTCCAGGATCTTTATGGTTGGAAACACAATACACCCGCCTACACCCCCCGCTTGCTGTCTCCAGCCCAAACCCCACTTTTCCTAAGCTGTTCCTCAGAGGTCACCTTGGGTGGACTTACCAACTTCTTGCTGCTCTGGACTCTCAAAGAGCTGCTGGCGTCTGTCTTAGCAGATTTAACCCCACCAGGCAGCTTGTTCAAGAAAATACTGACCGATGCCAGGCGCTGGTGAAGCCTCCGAGGAATCCCATCTGATCCGTATCTCCACCAAGACATGAGCCACCCCTAACTTACCATGGAGTGTCCTTTTTCTCCTTTAGAGTAGTTTTTCTTTGTGTGCCCATCTCCTACAGCCTATAGACAAAATACAAGCCGTGTACCCATGCTGTGGTCTTCTCATCACGGAGGTTTCAGTTGACGCTAAAAAAAGTCTCCCCCAAGACAGGGATCTTTAAAACCGAGGGATCTCCTAACCCGGAGCCCTGCTTCATTGCACATACGCTTCAGGTTTCATCCTGCACCTAAATCCCACATCGGGAAAGGCGAAAGGAGGAGGGGAGCGCTGATGCTCGTGTGCTCATACCTGTTTATTGGTGTGGTTTCTGAGGATTTGGGGGCCATAGGTTGTCTTCAGCTAGCCAGGGGGCTGCCTTCCCCCAGTACTCATTGGATGCACATTCAGGCTCTTGCGCGAGGCTTGCACAAGCTGCTGAGATGCTCCACGGTCTTCTCCTGCTCGGGGCACGCGCTCTGCCCCGCAGCCAGCGGGATGGCCACGTTATTTCCATCGGTATTCGCTAATTAGGATTTAGTTTGCTCCTTTAAAAAACAACTCAGGTAAAAGGCATGCCCTGTCAGGTAAGCACGTTTGTGGTCAGAGAGCAGCTCCGAGAGGTTGTGTCTGCTCTGCTCTGAAGGGTTTTGAATGCCTGCGAGCTCCTCGTCATTGCTGGAGTTTGAAACTGTTCTGAAGGCATGACAGTACATAAACTACGTTAAGTTTCTGGCCAAGACAACCAGCCTTGGAGCCTCTTCCTCAGAGAGACAAGGGACAGAGAACTGACCTCGCGTGGGCTTTAATAAGGGAGGACAGCCATGCGCCATCACAGCGGAAGGGTTAGCAGCGCACAAGCTCCAGCTGCTTAAAGAAGGGGATGAGGTTTTTCTTAGCTAGTTTAATAAGTGGAGTTGTTGGAAACGTTCATTTAGTTTTGGCAGAACAGCTCCGTACTGCCTTACACGTTGCGACTGGGAGGTGCGCGGGGTGGAGGTGGTGACGGGGCTGATCCGGCCCGGGGTGGGGGTGGTTTTGGTGCCATCGCCCGTCGCAGGGATGGGAGAGGCGCAGGAGCTGCCGTGGATGGGGAGGCGGGGGCTTGCAGCAGCTGCCCGGCTCCCGGGGACCAGGTGGCTGCGAGCCGAGTGTTTCAGCTGATCTCCTTGCTTTCTGCTGGGATGGGGGGCTCGCAGGTTTGGGGGACTCTCGGCTCACCTGGTGTAACTTCTAGCCCAGCACAGCTTCAGGATTCCCTCGATCCCTGTCCCCACACTTCTCTCAGCTGCCTTTTTCCCCTTGTCTTTGCAGAACCGCCAGACTTTCAACAGCCTTACCTGCCTTAGCGCCGCGGCCGAGGATGGCTCCCAGCGGCTCCCCGGCCCCCAGCCATGGACCAC